ATTGTATTAGATATTATAAGTAATCCAGAGATGTTTCAAAGTATATGGGAGGATGTGCAGAAGTTAAATGCAAATACTAGGCCATTTTATCTAAGGGATATCCAGAGATTTTGCTATTCACAGGAGTCCTGGAACCAATCCCAAAGGATACGGAGGAATGACTGTGCATTCTATTATTTTCTAACTTTATATTCTTACTACTCTGCTGAGGTTTTTTTTTTTTTTTTTTGCTATCATATTTATAATTTAAAAGACCTATGTTTTGTTCTCTAAGTACTAATTGTTAAAGAGTATCTATTCTGTTTTTTTTTTTCTAAATTTATTTCTCAGAGGAGACCAATAGCAGATCATCACTTTTCTTTCCCCTTTCCATATAGTCTTTTTCTTCCAAGCTTCTTTCCTGTTATACTTTTGGGATTCTTTCTGTCATGTCAGATTCTTCCCTTAAATTCTGAGGATCTATGTTTGTTTGTTTTGTGTTTTGTGTTTTTTTTTTTTTTTTGTTGTTGTTGTTACCAGGGATTGAACCCAGAGGTGCTTAACCAGTGAGCCACATCCCCAGCCCTTTTTTATATTTTATTTAGAGACAGGGTCTCACTGAGTTGCTTAGGTCCTCCCTAAGTTGCTGAGGCTGGCTTTAACCTTGCAATCCTCCAGCCTCAGCCTCCTGAGCAAGTAGGATTACAGGCTTTTGCCATGCTCATCTGGCTATCTATTCTTTTTTTTTTAATTTTAGTTGTAGATGCATATAATACCTTTATTTTATTTATTTATGTGGTGCTGAGGATCAAACCCAGTGCTTCAGGCATGCGAGGCAATTGCTGTACTACTGAACCACAACCCCAGTCTTGGCTATCCATTCTTAAGTGTGCCAAATTTAGCAAAAAACAAGACACCTAGTTAAACTTCAATTTTACATAAACAACAGATACCTTATAGGAAAAGTACATTCTGTGCAGTGTTTAAGCCATGTTATATATTTTATACTTCAATAAAAATTATTTGTTGTTTATCCAAAATTCATATTTAAGTGTCCTGTATTTTATCTACTAACCCTAAAAGTGCAATCAACAATACTTTCTGGACACCTTTGTGCGTACATGAGTGGTGAGGCTTGACAAGGATAAGTTTACTAACAGGTTGCTCAGTTTCATTAAGCAATTGAATACAGTGTCCTTAGATCTTTGTTCTTAGATTTCTCCAGAGAGAAATACTCCAAACTCTTAATGAATATAAACTCTTAATGAATATAATCCTGGCTGCCAGTTTCTAGCAGGAATCAAGTGGAGGAATAATATTGAACAGTTAGTTCAATATTCATTTTCTTAATTTTCATACGACTCTTCAATTTCAGTACAGAAGCCCTATCCATGTGTTCATTTAGTACCCAAGATTAAAGATGGCTGCAAAATCTTTGCACACACACATTCATTCCGGGATGGAGGCTAAGTCTCCTTTCCTTGAAACTGGGCTGGTCTCAGTGATTTGCATGATCTATAGAATACAATGGAAACGATGTTCAATAGTTTCCAAGCCTAGATAATAAGAAGCTTAGTAACTTCTGCTTGTATCTCTTGTATTATTTTTCTGGAAACCCTGACTCTCCACATAGGAGATCTGACACCCTGAAACTGCCATGTGAAGAGAGAAGGTGTAAGTGTCCTGGGTAATAGTGCCAGCTGAGATCAGCCTTCCAGTTACTCTTGCTATGGTGTCAAATATAGAAGGAGTCTTCCAGCCTGGCTGAAAACCACCATGTAATTATACTTAGTGAACTTCGCTGATGCTTCATGGAACAGAATTCCCCAGCCAAGTCCTATCCAATTTCAGACCCACAAAATCATGAGGGACAACCAAATGGTGGAAAAATAGTCATTGTTTATGGCACCAAGTTTTGGGGTCATTTAGGCAGCCTCAGATAACCAGAACACGGCAACAATATCTGGGTGTTCCCATTCCAGAGATCCTGTTCTTTATCCCTTCTGAGAAGGCACTTCAAGTCTTCCATGCACATTAAAGAGGGACAACAGCAGCTGTGCAGGAGGGGATGGGGGACACTAGCTTCTTCCTGTGCAGTTCACAACCAATCCTCCAGGTCTCCGGCTCACCTACATACCCTTTTTCAGAAGCACCTGACGCTGCAAACTCCCACATCCCCAGAGATCTACATTGTCATCTTGCTTCCTGGCTTTCCCTTCTCCTTATTCCTTAGTTCTCTCAGGTCTGCTAAGTCAATTATCCTATTTCTCTACTTTTCAGGCTCCAATTTTTTGTTATTATTTTTTTCTGTCTGGTTCCCTTGTTCTTGTGAGATTAAAAAAAAAAACTTTTGCTTTACTTGAATTTTGAGAGGATCTGAGATAACTATAGGTATTCATTCTGCTATCTTTAAATTAAAGGCTCCTTTGAGCCTTTCATTTGGACAATTCTGATACTGAAAGGTCAGTCCTTGTCCTGGAATTGGATCCAATAACGAAGGTAAGGTTTTGAAAAAAAGGAAAAAGAAATTGTATTACTTTGCTAACAAAGGAGAAATAGAGGGGACTCCTACCCCAGAGGCTGTGATTCTAACTGCCAGAGGAAACAGAGGACTTTTTTTTTTTTTTTGTACCAAGGATTGAACCAAGAGGCACTTAAACACTGAGCCTTCAAGTCTTCCATGCACATTAAAGAGGGACAGCAGCAGCCCCTTTTTATATTTTATTTAGACACAGGGTCTCGCTGAGCTGCTTAGGGCCTTGCTAAGTTGCTGAGAACAGCAGGCTTTTAAAGAAGGAATACAAAGGCTACATTCCAGCTGTGCTCTGTCAGGAGTCAATTCATCTGTAGCATTGAGAGATAGCTGTTTCTCAGATCCGCTGGTGCCAGCCCCGGGGCGTAGATTGCTTATTCCTGTAGGTCATGAGCCAAAGGGCGAATAACTGGGCCTAGGATGGGAAGAAAGTTAATCTGGCTTCTTTCATGGTTAGGGAGGCAAAGAGGGAGAAGGAAAGAAAAAAACAAATATGTTAGTTTAAAAATAGACCATAGTGGCAGAGCAGCGAGGATTGTATTCTTTTTTTTTTTTTTTCTGGAGTAGGGGTTTGAACCCAGGGGCATTTAACCTTTGAGCCACATCCCCAGCCCTTTGTATTTTTTATTTTGAGACAGAGTCTCACTAAGATGCCTAGGGCCTCACTAAGTTGCTGAGGCGGAAGTGAGTGTTATATTCAAAGCATTAAGGGGACCCCTGTTACAATTCTATTAATTTTTAAAATACCCTGTCTTAGATCAGGTTACCTAGAAGCAGAGCTACACCTAGGGATTCTCCTGCAAGTATTTCAGTGAAAATATTCTCAGGAAACCCTGTAAGTGAAGGAAGTAGGATATGGCCTAGAGAGAAGCTAAGCGAAGATGTGATTCCTTTTGTAGTTAAAACTCAGGCTGACATTAGAGGAGTTTTGGCCAGATTTACTCCTGGCCTTTTGTACCTCATGAAAGCCTCTTTCTGTGGCTTCCCAACCTGTTCCAAATTCGCAATTTTGGGGAGGAGGCAGCTGCAGGGATCTGGGGTCTGGGTACAACTGTGGGATATAATAGTGTCTCTAATTTTTCTCAAGAGGGAATTATTATTGATTGTGTGTGTGTGTGTGTATGTAGGGGGAGTACTGGAATTAAATCTGGGAGTGCTTTACCACTGAACTATATTCCCAGCATCCTCCTTTCAAAATTTTGAGACAGGGTCTTACTATGTTGCCCAGGCTCCCAGGCTGACCTCAAACTTAGAATCTTCCTGCCTCAGCCTCCTGATTAGCTGGGATTACAGATGTGTGCCACTGTGATGGCCTTATTGCATTCTTTTTCTACTGTTGGCCTTGTTAATTTTGTTTCCTCAAGGTCAGTTCCTAAATAGAAACTCAGAAACTTTTAGGTTATCAAATATATATAAAGGACAGAACCAAGTCTGGATCCTAAAACTCATGCTCTGGACCACATTAAACCACCTCCTCTAGCTACATGTTTATGAAATAATTTAATGTTGCCTCTCCACCTTTAAAGATTTTAATAACCACTTGGATTTTGGTCCGTTGAATAGCAAACATTCCCCAAAGCTACCTATCCTTTGTCAAATAAAATAAAAATTTGCTGGTAGTTGCAACAGATTTCTCTCCAGCATTCACTGAGCACCTATGATGTGCCAGAAACAGAATCCTGCGCAGGCACAAAGACAACCTAGACCTAGTAAGTGGCTTCAGGAGTGTTGTGTTCAGTGGGGGTAAGAAGATATGGACACACAAAAGTGTGTCCTGCGGACAGGCACCCAACGCTAGTGTTTACAGGTTTAAGAGAGAAAGATCAGCTCTGCTCCCAATTTTCTATTCCCGAAGTTTCTCTGACCTGCTAGGTGCAACAGGAGGGAGAATTTTTTTCCTCAAAGGAGATGTGGAACCGCTGGACACGTTTTGGAATGTATGTTTTATTGTGACAGAGGGAAATGAAAAGGGCCATTCAGACTTCACTTTCTACTTTTCCAGCCACAGGCTCCCCATGATCCTGCTGGAGTGAGAAAGTGCCTTTTTCCAGGGAAAAGGCTGGGATTCCAAGCGTGACTCGGGACAGGGCATTGAACTGGGCGCTGCCCACGCAGGGAGGGAGAGGGCGAGGTCGCCGGGCTTGGGTGACACCGGTGGGGACATCCGGACACCCGATAACTCGCGAACACACTGGTCCACTCTGCGGGGGCAGGAGCGGGGCTGGAGGTGCCAGGCCGGCTGGGCGATCTCGGCAGCGGGACGAGGCGCGGGAGTCGGGACCCCCGGGATCCGGGGACTGGTCCCCGCCTGGGGCTCGGGCACGTGCGGGAGCAGCCCACTCGGGGCCAGGCTGGCTTCTCGTGGGCGTCTGGGGCTCCAGGTGCGCTTTGTTTTGGGAGGGACTTTCCGGTTCCGTGGGCAGAGAGACAACCAGGAACTCGGGCTCAGTCTCCACCCCGAAGTGGGGCGGATCCGCACGGGATAAGACCCATTGCTGGGCCTGGACGTGGGTGTGACCTCCGCAGCCACAGAGGACTAGCGAAGCCGGGTCTCCGCACGAGAGGTAAATGGATCATGACCCGGGGGTCCTGGGCTCCGGGAGAGGGGTGTGGCGGCCCGGGAGTGCCTCTCGGGGATGCCAGTCCCCAAGCTGATCCCAGTCCCCAAGATGATCCCAGGAGAGGGTGCCCGACGCCGGCCTGCGGGCGGGCCTGAGTGGCCCGCAGGGTGGAGCAGGGCCAGCCGGCTGGGACTCTCTCTGGATGGGCCAGAGGGAAACATCACAGTCCCTACCCTCTGACACCATCCAGAAAGACACTCAGAGCAATGTGTAGAGCTCCGGATGCCAGTCGGAGACCTCAGCAGTTTATTGAGTCCTTGTGCTGAGCTTGGGCACTAAAACCAAAGGATGGAGTTAATACTGCCTGGAGCTAACTCAGTCTAACACCTCTTACTTTTTAACTCTCTCTCTCCTTTTAAGAAACTTACTCCTTTCTCCTAGACTTTTGCCTCTTTATTCCCGTGTGTATCTACTGATCTCAACACAGTGCCTGGCATGTAGGAATCTTATTTAAATATGAGCCCCATGTTGTGTGTGTCAGCGGCACAATTTCACTTTCCCCCTGTCTTTGATCAGCTGGGAGTCTTGGGGACCAAAGAGGATGGCTTTCCAAGAGTCCACCAACTCATAGTGTTCTCCAAGTGGATGCAGGTCTCCTGTGAGCGTTTTAGAGAATTGTGGGTCCCGAGTCACTGGTATCTTTCATGAAAACTGGGCATCTGCTCTCTCCAGCAGATAGTGGGAGGATGGATAGGGCACCCTCCTTCAAATTGCCCATCCAGCTGACCATAAACTCCAGGACATACCACCTGCCCCTTCCATGCAGGTGGCTACTCATAACCAAGCCCTACTCTTTGGTTACCAAAAGAATTCTCAGATGACAGACAGGTGGAAGAGCAAGTTGGAGAGGAAGGGGACAGGAATGAGAAAATGGGTAAGCACAGCCATCCAAAAGCGGCTGACTTCCCAGAGTTCTATATGGCCAAGATCAGATCAGGGACTTGATACATACACACAGAGACATAAAAGCACTGGACCAAGGGATTCTATGAATTTCCTCCTCGACAATCTTGCTCTTGGTCAAATATATTTTTTCCTCCAGAGCATTTTTAGAGGGTAACATTCATCATCAGGCTGGACCCACCAACCCTCAGCATTTAAAGGGTGAACTTCCTTGATGTCCCCAGATTTGTGTCCTGAGGCAGGTTTCTTTGTGTACAGCTTTCATTTATTTTCCTGATCTTGCTAATCTGCTCCTAGACTAAGCCTGCTCTTCTCCAAGGGAGATCAAGGTTAGTGGTAGGCATGGGGGATAGTGGTCAGTGTGCCAGAGACTACTTGAAGCTACAGAATAATCAAGAAGGGATTTTCCTTGGGCATCAGTTTTACCCAATTATTTGAAGGTTTAAAACATTTTTTTATGCTGGGCATTGTCATGCCCATATATAACACCAGCTACTCAGGAGGCTGAAGCAGGAAGATCACAAGTTCAAGACCCACCTGGGCAACTCAGTGTGAGTGAGACCCTGTCACAAAATGAAAAAAAAAAAAAATAGAGCGGGTGGGGGTGGAAATTGGGAATGTAACTCCGTGGTATAGCACTTTGCAAGCATGCGTGAGTCCCCAGGTTTGATCCCAGTACTGCAAAACAAAACAAAAATCCCCATGTCTTAAATGAAAACAATCACAAAAATTTTGAAGTAGAATCCAAAAATCATATGCATTTTAAATCTAAAACAAAAAGCTTCGGAAAAAGTATTGTTTGGCCTTTGGACTGCAATTTTGCCCCAATCTAGCCCCTGAGGGTTTGTTCTCCCTGCAGTTAGGGCTACTTGAGGAGGCAGTTTGGCAGGTACTTCCGTGTCTTCCCTGGAGCGACTTTGAGTAACAGTTATCCTAGGGTCTTCTCATTTAACCTTCACTTCAACCTGTTGTGAGGTTACTAAGCTTGTTTTACACATCCCAATGCTCCAAATCATGGTCCGAGGTCAAAGTCAGACCCTTTGGGAACTGAGGCTTAAATCCACTGTGGACACCAAAACCTGTCATTTTATCCTCTCTGCTCTACTATGATTTGATTAGTGCCTGGTTCATAGTGATTTGGTATCTAGATTTATGGTATCCTGGCTTATTAACTAAATCTTGATCAACTATTTTTCTTGACTTTCTTCTTCTCAGGGTGCCAAATGAAATAGGAGTGAAAGAAGTACAGCTGTTTTGATTAGAAAGGGAAGGTTGTGGGGGCTGGAGTTGTGGCTCAGGGGTAGAGTGTTTGCCTAGCACATGTGAGGCCCTGGGTTTGATCCTCAGCACCGCATAAAAAAATAAAAATAAATAAAATAAATGTATTGTGTCCATCTATAGCTAAAAAATAAATATTAAAAAAAAAGAAAGGGAAGATTGTTCTGGGTGTAGGGGCACACAGTGGCCACTCTAAAATCTGTTTTGTTTTGCAGTTCTGGGGATTGAGTCCAGAGGTGCTCTACTACTGAGCCACATTCCCAGCCCTTTTAATTTTTTGTTTTGAGACAGGATCTCCCTAAGTTGCCGAGGCTGGCCTCTAACTTGTGGCCCTCTTCCCTTAGTGTCCTTACTTTCTGGGATTACAGGTGTGTGTCACCACACTCAGTGTTGACCCTAAATTCTTGAGGGGCTTGGTGTGTAGAAGAGGGAATAAATTCAGTCTTTGTATTGTTGAGTAGAGTTTTGGAGGAGTTTTTCAAATGCTGCATTTGGTTGAATAAAAAGATGTCTTTTGAAACCTGTAGTCTGGGTGTTCTTGGAGTTGGTGACTCTTAGCAGGTAGATGTCTAGGTAGAGGTTTAGCAGTTTCTTCTTTACTTTTCTTTCCCTTTTTTCTTTCACTGGAAATTGAACCCAGGGCCTTGAGCATGCTAGGCAAGCACTCTACCCATGATCTACATGCCCAGCCCTTTATTTTATTCTACTTGTTTATTTTTGATACTGGGGATTGAACCTAGAATGCTTTATCACTGAGCTATATCTTCAGTTCTTTTTCTATTGAGACAAGTTCTCGCTAAATTGTTGAGGCTGGCCTTGAACTTGTGATCCTCTTGATTCAGCCTCTGTTGCTAGGATTAGTCATGTGTCACCTCACCTTGCCATTTTTAGTTTTGGGGACAGGGTCTGACTAAGTTGCTGAGGCTGGTGTTGAACTTGTGACCCTTCTGCCAGGAGAGCAGGTATGTGACATGCATCTGGCATGGCAGTCCTTTTCTGGGGCTGTGAAGGGCAGAAGGTTAAGCTAAAGTGACTTCTAAAGCTTTAGTTCTCAAACTTCAGGGTGCATCACAGGATTGTAAAGACCCTAGGAAACTTGTATAATATGCAGATTCTTGCCTCACTCCCCAAAATTCTGATCCAACATCACAGGTTGGGATCCAGGAGTATTTAAAGGGCTCCCAGATTCAAGTGTTGTTAAGACCTCACTTTGAGAAACTATACTTTAGAAATACTTATATGAGCATGTGTGGTGGCACATAGCTCTAATCTCAGCGCCATTGGGAGGCTGAGGCAGGAGAATCACAAGCCAGCCTCAGCAACTCAGTGAGGCCCTCGCAATTTAGTTAGACCCTGTCTCAAAATAAAAAGTAAAAAGGACTGGAGTTATGGCTCAGTGGTCAAGCACCCCTGGGTTCAATCACCAGTATAATTTGATTAACAGATTTTTTTTTCTCCAAACTCAACTCTTAGTTTTACAGTGCTTAACACCTCTAGACCAAATGGCGTTCCAACTAAAGGTTTTTGATTGTTGTTGTTTCATATAATTGAAACTGAGATGGATCCATCTGTGAAGATTAATTTCCTTAGGAATTTAGCGTTTCTGTCTAAGGCCTGTTGGTTTTATTGAGAGTAATTTGTTCGTGTTTGAACTAGACTGAAGGATATTGCTGTGGAAACCTAATCCTCCACCTTGGAAGACTCCTTTTTAAAGGTTCAAGTAGTTTGAAGTCAGTAAACAGCCATAGTACTTCTTGGTTCAGTGCTTGGTATAAAAACTAAAGTGAATGTTACATTCATAATTAGCAGCAGGGATAAATGGCAGCTAAAGGCCAGACTGTGAATACTATGTAAAAGACCTTTTGTATATATATCACCCCGCCCCATACACACACAGAATTAACCTTTTACAACCAGATGCAGAGCACAAGCTGTGTGACCTGTCACAGAATGGGAACACCCCCAAACAGCACCCCACCCTATTGCTCTGGAATCATTTCTCTGAGTCAAGGTGCTCAATCCCCTGAAGAAGTAGCAAATCAAATCATTACCAGAAGCTAACAGAGGGGCCCTGTGGTTACTGGGAACAAATTCTGATTTATGGGGAATTGAACTGCCCCCCTGCTGGAGAATGGAGCAGGGGTGAATATCAGCCCCCTGCATCTTCTCCCTCACTCCTCTTCAGGGAGCTGAGGCAGGTTTTCTCTGGATCCTACTTAGTGTCGACTTCTGCTATTCTTCTGTTTGCTATTGTGCAAAGACCTATTGACCCAATTGTTCTCATTCTCTGAGAGATACAAATTCCTATAAGGCTGTGATTAAAGCTATGGATCCTCTCTTAAGAAAAATAAATACATACTTCACGTTTTTTATACAGTTTCAAGGGGTTCACAAACACCATTTTAAACCCACTCATGGATATCTAGAAAGTTCTTAGATGTTGCGTTAAGAATTGCCCTGAAATTTGGCAATGTTTGTCAAAATGCATTTACCTTTGTTCTAACCATTTCATTTCTAATTTATCCTAATGATACTTGGGCATGTATACAGAGGCATGTGTACAGGATGGATGCATTGCAGACTTGTTTTAGTAGCAAAAGATTGAGAAAGAACGAAATGTCAATCAGCATCAATCAGCGAAGTACTGGTTAAATTATGGAATATCCATGTAATGCAATACCTTGTAACATTGAAAAAGGATTCAGTTTGATAGGCAATGAATAGAATGATATTGAGGTATATTGTTTTTTTCTTTTTTTAAA